GCGGGGAGCCTGCTTCTCCCTCTGCCTCTCTCTCTATCTCTCATGAATAAATAAATAAAATCTAAAAAAAAATAAATAAAAGCTTAGAACTTAAAAATCAGTAAGTATTGTTGTTAACTTAATCATACCCTTCTCTCTATAATAAATCAGTTGTCCTTATTTATAAAATCATTGTCAGTCACAATATCTAAATTGAACCCCTTGAAGTTTTTGTGAATCATTTTTGGAAAGTTTCTTCTTGAAACAGGAATCCCAATCCTTATAAAAATTTATTTACAGAATTGATTTCTAAACATTTCTCAAGTTGTGGAGGCTCAGACTGAAGCCAGCATTCTGAAACTTACTTCTCCAGTGATTGAGTACATTGGGAAGATCGCCTCAATTCCAGTATGTTACATTCTTGTCAACACAACGAGCATCAAGCTTACTTCTTAATAACTGCGATGAAAATGTTATTGGAGGTCCATGAATTCCCCCATGCTGATCTTTTCTTGTTTGTCATCATAGTATTTAAATCATTTTTTATCTTGTGTTTGAGAGACCAGAGACCTATTTCAATTTTTCCAAAATATGTGCATGTTTGGCTACTTCCTATGTATTTCCTAGTTTATTATTTTCTGTGCTACTTCTCATCCTAAATTTCATTTTTTATCTGCTTTACTGTTTGGTAAGATAATATTACATGGAGAAAATTTTCCTGACTTTTTAACCTAACTTTCTATTTTTTAGAATTATCCAATTTCCACTTAGTGCAGCATTAAGATAGACTAGGGGCTGGAAGATACACACAGGCAGGAACTTTACAGCAGTTAGAGAGTCTCTACAACGGGACGTACTGAGATAGAATGCAGTGATTCTTCCTCATGGAAAAGTTAGTTCATGGGGAAAGTGGCTAACTGCCCATCAGGAGGGGGGTAAAAAGGGAGTTGGACTAAATAATGTCTGAAATTTAAGACTTAGAATTACTTTATGACACGTTAGTTCAATTCGTTAATAGGGACTAAAATAATTTGAACTGTTTCTACATTTTGCTTTTCACTTCCTGATTTAAATTTACATGGTATATATTAATTATTTTATTTCTTTAAATATTTATTAATATCTTCCTCGAATAAAATAAATCAGGAATGTGATTTCAGTATTAGACTGCCCCCTTCTGTCTTTCATGTCAGACTCTTTTAATCACTTTAATCCTCCCATACATATTCCATACTTTGCAACTGCATGCTCAGTTCAGGGATAATGGTTTCAGTATGCTAATTTTATATCTTTTACACAAAAATATGCAGACAGGTATTGTGCCAACTTTCCTGAGGTTTTCTGAAGGACAACACAAGACTCATTTTTAAAACTTCTTTACTAGCATAAAATAATTTGCTCTTTTAAAATTCAGATGGAATCTGTTATTCACAGTAGAGTGCCCAGAACCAAATGCAGTATTTTTGTGGAAAAAGAATAAGTAACATTGTAGTTTGCAAAAGCAATGCCCTCCTCTATGGTGTCCAATAAATTCTTGGTCTTTGTTAGTTATGCCTAATTAGGATGCTTTAATTCCCTTTTAACAGTTGGGTTTCATAGCATTTTATATCCAACTACATTAAGAATTAATTTTTTGGCTTGACACCAATGCTGAATTTGCTTATTCAAACAGAAGCCATGCCAAGGGCTTGACGGATGATGACAGTAATTAACCCAAATCATATACCAGGAGCTGTTCCAATGAAAGTGTCTGTTAAATAGTGTATCTTTTCCTGATGGTGAAGCTGATTCTACAAAGGCCATGTATTACAACCTCCCACAGAATGTTTCTTGACACTAGTGCCAGAGATAGAAAGGGAAGAGCCACCAGACTGATCAAATAAAGCCTTTCTTATTCTGGTAAATAAAATGGAAAACATGGAGAAATGGGGGGAAATTAAACTCAATTCAGAACTTAACATACCCCATGCTTCTGTGTCCCTACAAGGAACAATGAGAGATGTTAAAAAGAATGATCATTACAGCAAAAAAGTAGGAAAAGTCTACAGCCACTAGAACTACTGAGTTTGTTAAATGAATCTTAATATAATAAAATGAAAAATATAATGCAGTTATAGAATAATATTTTAGGTTCCTTGCATACTGAGTTACAAAGACCATGTATAAAGTTGTTTAAAAGTTGAAGAATGGTTTTAGAACAGCATTTGTATTATGATACTACACACATGTGGAGGAAAGACTATGGCAATATTCACAAACATGTTAGCACCGAATGTCTCTGGAACATAGGATTATGAATCTTCCTTCTCCTGCTTCTCTTCTTCCTCTTTTTTTCTCTCCTCCTTTGCCATTACTTTTCTTCATGCTGTTAGGTATTTTCCAACTGTTTCTCCAATAATACAGTTCTAGAGGAATTGACACATACCACATGATTGGTTAGAAATGTACCAAGATTGAGACAGAGGAAGTGTTTGTGGCCCTTTACAAAGCCAGAGAAAGCTTTAAAGGAGGTAGGAAATATCTGGTTCAGTTTAAGGTGGTATAGAGATAAACAAGCAAAGAGATGAAGTAAGCATGTTACTGTAGAGATCTGGAACTCAAGAGAGAGGTATGGACTAGAACAAGCAATTTGAGAGTCACCCACAAAGAAGGTCATTGAAACTGAGTGAATGAGATTACTCAGAAGAGTGTGGAGCATACAAAGGAAATAGAGTTGGCCCTTGAACAGTGTAAGGGGTTAGAGCATCAACTCCTCCAAGCAGCTGAAAATCTGAGTATAACTTTTGACTCTGCAAAAGCTTAACTACCAATAACCTATAGTTGACCAGAAGGCTTATTGATGGCAAACAGTCAATTAATACATGTTTTGTATGTTATATGTATTATATACTGTATTCTTACAATAAAGTAAGCTAGAGAAAAGAGAATCTTATCAAAAGGAAGATACATTTACAGTACCATATGTATATTTATTGTAAAAGAAATCTGCATATAAGTGGACCTGTTTAGTTCAAGCCTGTGTTGTTCAAGGATCGACTATAATGACTAGAATTGAGCCTGAGGAAACAAACATTAAAGAGAATACAGAGAAAGGAATCTAAAGAGAAACTCACGGAGGGCCAGAGAGGTGTGAGAAAATACAAATTCATGGTGGTAGGGAAGTTAAAGGAAATGTTCCTTAAACAAGGGAGTGGTCAATGTTGTTAAATGTCATGAAGAGTTTAGGTGAAATATTTTTTAAAGTATCCCATGGATATAACAATAAATATTTTACTCATTTCATCAAGGCACCATTGATGGAAACACTTCCAGCCAGGTGCCAGACAGTTGAAGGAGGCAAAGTGGTTTAGCAGAAAAATGTTTGGCTATAAAAGGAAGGCAAGAAGTAGGATGGTAACTGACGAAAGACATAGAATTGAGAGTAGTATCATTTTTGTGGTGATGGTTTTAAGATGAGAAGAATGTGTTATTCTCTATGGGCTGATGGGAAGGAGTCAGGAGTAGGGAGGAGAAGATGAAGTTTAGAAAAAATTGGGAAGAACTCAGGGTTTCTTAGATTTGCCTTAAGATGAGAATCCCTTGGATCATTTGTTTGAAAGGCAGGTTTCTAGTGGGGGAAATCCTATAATCTGTATTTCTTTTTTTTTTTTAAAGATTTTATTTATTTGACAGAGAGAGACACAGCGGGAGAGGGAACACAAGCAGGGGGAGTGGGAGAGGGAGAAGCAGGCTTCCCGCGGAGCAGGGAGCCCGATGCGGGGCTGGATCCCAGGACCCTGGGATCATGACCTGAGCCCAAGGCAGACGCTTAACGACTGAGCCGCCCAGGCGCCCCTATAATCTGTATTTCTAACAAGTACCATCAAGTGACTCATTGACAGGACAGTGTGGAGACACTATAGTTAATGGGACAGAATGGGATTCAGATCATATGGTTATTCTTGATCTGAGGAGAGAATTTCCTTTGTTTGCTGTAGGAGAGAATTAGAAAAGGCTGCGTAGAGGTGCATGTAAATGTAGAGATTTGGTGACTGACTTTCCTGTCTGCCCTTACTTTCTCCATCAAGTAGGATGTGGGGCCCCTTCTGAGAGTCATGCAAGAATTTCTAAGCACTATTAAGAGCCCAGGCAGAGGGGCACCTGGGTGGCTCAGTTGGTTAAGCAGCTGCCTTCAGCTCAGGTCATGATCCCAGGGTCCTGGGATCGAGCCCCGCATCGGGCTCCCTGCTCAGCGGGGAGCCTGCTTCTCCCTCTCCCTCTGCCTGTCTCTCTGCCTACTTGTTCTCTCTCTCTATCTCTCTGTCAAATAAATAAATAAAATCTTAAAAAAAAAAAAAAAGAGCCCAGGTAGAGGGAAGATGTTAATTCATGGTGGAACCAATTTACAGAGCTGCATGATTTTTTTTGAAGCAAGTGTGATGAAGATTGACATGTGAGTTCTAACATGGAGGTTTAATGGAAAGAAAGCAGAGCCTGACAGTTCAGAATATTACCACAGTTTGGATAATGTAATCATGGAGTACAGGCTGGATAATGAAGTCAAAAGAGAGACGTAATAGGTTTGCCTGGGACTGAGAGTTTCTTGGAATATGGGACAATCAATGCTAAAATCAGGAATATCTGGGAAACTAGAATCATTGATCATCCTAGGAGAGCAAGGATGGTAGGAAAGTTGGATTCAGGAACTGGAAGTCTAGATGGAATTAAAACCAAATGTAGTGAGAGTTATTGAATGTACATTTTAGAAATAGAAGGGGTTATGGCCAGAGATTGAAATGTTTAGAGTTGGGTTTTCCAAGGTGGGTTAGTTCCTGATTATAAGATTCATGGCTTAACGTCGTGACAGTTGATGATCAGAGTAGAATGCAGAGGAAGGACCTGGAAGTATGAAGGTCATGAGATTGAAAAGAGATTGAGTTTAATAAGCTGTCTATGTAAACTATGACATCACCCAGGATGGTGGCAGAACAAAGTGGGATGATGAGCCCGATGCCAGTCTTTTTATTTATTTGCTTGTTTGTTTGTTTATTTATCCGAAAGAGAGAAAGAGAGAGAGAGAGAGCACATGAGCAAGGGGAGGAGCAGAGGGAGAGGGACAAGCAGACTCTGTGCTGAGCACGGGGCCCACTATGGGGCTTGATCCCATGGCCCTGAGATCATGACCTGAGCCAAAATCAAGAGTCAGATGCTCAACCAACTGAACTACCTAGGTGCCCACTTTAAAAAAAAATTTTTTTTAATTTTTATTCTTTTTTTTAAGTAGGCTCCACACCTACTTTGGAGCTCAAACTCACAACCCTGAGATCAAGAGTTGCATGCTCTACTGACTGAGCCAGCCAGGCGCCCCTTGGTGCTAGTCCTGATAGGCCAGGAGGCAAGTAGATGAGAAGACATAGAGTATGGTACAACTGGGTAGCATTAGCTTAAATAATCTAGGGATTTGGCTCAAGTTTGAAAGATAATTATCTAGAAGAAGCAGTAAAAAATCAGACTATATGTTCTGACTTTAAAATATATGAGATATTGGCAAATAAACAATCTCCATTTGAAAAGATTAAAGGAACAATGTTATCAGGCAGTAAAATGGTTGATAATGTATAACTTTAAAAAACGTGGTTGATCTGAAAACCTCAAAATGTACATTGTCTTGCTTTATTAGGCCCTCACTGGATCAAGGAAAACAGTTCTCAATGAAAAAAGAAAAGATCCCTATTGGTGGGGTAAGCACCAGAATTACTAGTATTATTTGTTATTAACCACACAAATATAAAAGATTGCATTGCATTATTAATAAATATCATATATTTTTCATTTGAGGAGGGTTACTATATAATAGTTAGAAGAAATTACATTAAATGGAACTGTTGGTTTATTATAGTGGTGTTTAATTAGGATTACATGTTACTTAGTTATGTATATTCTTTGTTACTAATGATAGTAACCAATATTATTTGAACATGCATCATTTTTAAGCACTTAGGACTATGCTGGCACTTTAGATGTACTTATAAGGTCACTACTGTTAAAATTCCAACTTACAGATGAGTAATCTGGGAGTTAGAGGAGTTAGTAACTTGACCAAGATCACAAAGCTTAGGAAAAATGCCATGTAGGATTTAAATCTACTTTGTCTGACCTTTAAGTACAGTAATCTAATTCCATATTAATTTTTCCTTTAGATGAAGTTCTCAATCATTCTGAAGTACCTCCAAGCCTTTGGCTGGCTCTGGGTGTGGCTGAGTGTGGCTGCTTACCTCGGGCAGAATTTGGTGGGCATTGGACAGAATCTATGGCTTAGTGCCTGGGTAAAAGAAGCAAAACACAAGAATGAGTTCAGAGAATGGAAGCAAATAAGAAGCAATAAACTTAACATCTATGGATTACTGGGATTAATGCAAGGTAAAAAAAAAAAAGTCCAGGGGCTTCTTTTTTCTCTTTCTGACCTAATTTATTCAAATGCAAGCATGTGGCATCATTTTATTTCAAATAAAACCTATGCCATATTTTTCAAGTATTTTGAGATAATTCAAATGCATATGCTTTTAATTCATCGTATTTGAGAAAGTAAACCAAAACTTATGTGTATCTGCTACATGGCCCACACTAAATAATGTATTTGTCTCATTTATTCTTGACAAAAAGTATTTGGAAAGGTGTTATTATTCCTATTTTACAGCCGAGGAAAATGAGGCCCATATGCTAAGTCATTCAGGACCCAAAAGTCTTGACCACATGGCTACTCACTGTATGTGTGAGACCTGTGATTGATATGAAGATCAATAAGTGAGTCAGTTACAAACTACATTGTAAGTAAAGTCTAAAACTACATGGCAAGCAATAAGTGCTATAAAAGTAATAAAAGAAAACCTGCAAGGATACAGAGCAAGAAAAAGCCATATTTGAGAGTTAAGATAATTTCCAAGGAATAGTTGTCATTTGAGGTGTCGCTAAAAGAATGATTTGAATTTTGTGAGACTGAGGTCACAGAAAAGGAGAGGTGACCGATGCAGAGAGAAAGATGTGAGTAAAGACAGGGGTGGGGAAGAAAGGGGGCTGTAGGCATGAGTGAGGGAGCCAGTTTGAGTGGTCTTCAGGTTATTGGTAGGGCAGTAGGGGAACTAGAGGTGGGAAGGTAGTTTGGAGATGTGTTGGAGATGATAGTTGGAAAGGCAAGTGGAAAACTTTGAGAATTTGAGGGAAAAGAGGTGAATTAGAGTTATTTTTCAAACTGAGAATGAATTAACAGTGATGAAAAAGAAAGATGGACTTTTATTGGAGGGATTAAATCAGAGACCAGGGAAAATTTGGGATTGATAGGGAAGGAGTAATCAAGTATCTTCTAGGTGGAAGTCTGGATGGGAGATAATCTACTATAGAAAAATCTCTTCTCTGATCTATCTCCATGTCATCCAAGGCACCTAGTCCAGTGCTAACCAATGAGTAGGGAATGGAATAGGATTGAATGAATAAAGGATGAAGGAAAATAAATGAACAAACAAATGAATGGTCAGAGAATAGCAATGCAGTTGGAGAAAAGGGATAGAGAGGAAAGACACTGCAGTGAAAACATACGTAAGAATGGGTGATTTGAAGCTAAGAAGAGGGCCTCATTCATGGTTTTGAAGTTCATTTTGGGTAACTGGGGAATGATGAAGACAAAAATAAGGAAACCGGGGGGGAGTCTTAATACGTGGGGCAGAGAATTCAATTGACTTCAACTCAATTCAGTGGTGAATTCAATTTTGGACACATTTAATAGAAAGTGTAGATGCATTTTTCTACTTTTTTTTTCTCCCAGTAGGCAGATTTAAATGCATATCTGGAAGTTTGGGAAGCAAATTTCATTTATTTGTAAAATGGAGGGCTTAGACTAAATAATTTCTACATTTCCTCCAACCTCTAACACTCTATAGCTCTGTGGTTCTACCGAGACGTTGAGTCATTCTCATAGAGATAACAAGTGAGCCATAGAGAAGATATGATCACTGAATGAGGATTAAGAGCCACAAGGGTGAATGATGGTTACTTGGGGAATGCCCATGTACAGCCAGTTAGGGGATTGGCTTCAGAGAAATTGAGCAGAGATAAGTTCCTGATCAATAGATAAACAAAAAAACAAAAAAAACCCCACAAAAGCACAATAATGTGAAGGCTTGCTCTGTTCCTAGAAACCCAAAGCATTTTATAGAGGTTAGATACATGAAATTGCCTATATTTGACATTTTATGACACACAAAAATGGTAATTTCATATGGTTTAAACTAATTTATTAATTCATTTAACATACATTCTAATGAGGGACTCCTTAAACTTGGGCATGTTAATTAAACTTTTAGTTTTACCATTTATAGAAGGTAGATAATTTCTACCTAAATATTGTTCCAGTGATTAAATTAGCTAATATGTATAGAGCTTACAAAAAAATGCTGAGCGTATAACAAGAGTGCAGTAAATGTTAGCTATTATTTAACAATAGAGGAAATGAATACTATGCACAAAGTCCTACAGATAAAAGTTTCAGAGCCAGGTTTGAATCCATGTGTACCAGATTCCCCAAACTATGTTCTTAACCACTAAATTAACATTTCCAAAAGTTTTACATGAAACAGTAGAGATACTCCACAAATATAGGGATCTGTACTCCCAATAGATCTGGAAAACTGAGGACTGTATTTTTCTGTGCTTCTGAAATCTTTTTTTCCTTTCACTAGAAGTTTCCAGATATTTTTCAGTAAACTGATCTGTTTAGTTCTATCTAACCCAATGTTTCTCAAATCCGTTTGACCATGGAAAAAATGTTTCTTCTTGTATTGGCCATTAATATCTTGAGCAACTTGTTTTCCATAGAATATACTTTGGAAAACTCTAAATGATGATACACTGCCTTCCAAGTGAAAAGTATGATGTAACAAAAGCCAAAAAAAAAAAAAAGAAGAAGAAAGAAAGTTCAAAGAAGTTCTCACTGGTTCTGAAATGCTGCAGAAATGTTAAGAAGAAAAAATTGAGAAAAGACCCATGATTGTAGTCAAAGATGCATCATCTAGAAAGAGATAAAAAGAGAATACAGACTGTAGGTAGTTGAACAATTGATAATTAAGGAGTAGATACATATTGTCCTTCAAAGAAGTTAGGTGATTTGAAAGAAAAAAAAAGGATATTCAAAAGTATGGTAGAAATAAAGAGATTTTTAAAGTACAGACATTTTGTGTATGTTTATAAAAGGAAAGAAAGGCACCTTGAGGGAGAATGATATTCAGGGAGAATTCAAACAAGAAAAAAATACGTGGAAGTCATACTGTCTAAGGATATTCATAAGGGACAACACAAAGAGATACATGCATTTGGTAAAAAAAAAAAAAAATGAAGATAAAATAAAAAGTATGAAACTTGGGGCTTTGCTTCTCTTCTCCCTTCCCATCTTTATTGTGTGGCCATAGTATTTCTTATAAGTGTCTCCATCAAAAGTATGCAAATATTGTGAGACAGATTTATATTTATTTTGCCATTCTGTTAACAATATTCATTGGGGAAAGAGATGTTGTTAATGACTAAAATGAGATATAAAAAATATTTATAGTATGAAAGATACAGTGTGTTTGGTTTTGAATCAGTGAGAGTCAAGTTTATTGGCTTGCAATTCGCAACTCATTGAGGAAAGAATAGATATAGCAGTCTAGAATTCTGAACAGCAAAAGAAACATCCATATATACAAATATCTCTATATCTGTGTCTAGCACATCTACATATGAGAGTTAAACTCATACCAATCCAGGAGCTCATGTTACAACTTTAGGGGAAATTCAATATAATTTGGAGAGTATTTTAAGTGAGCAAATATCATTTCCCATACTAGACAAGCTATGTAAGTTTAATGTTCACAATTTTACCATTGTAAAGTCTTACTTTTTTATCAGAATTTTTAAACTTTTTATTTAAATTCCAGTTAGTTAACATACAGTGTAATATTAGTTTAAGGTATACATTTTTTTGATTTGCCATATATCTTTTTTTTTATCTTTTTCAAGTTTTTAAATTCCAGTTTGTTAATATACAGTGTAACATTAGTTTTGGGTGTAAAATTTAGTGATTTATCACTTACATACAATACCTGGTGCTCACCACAACAAGTGCCCTCCTTAATACCCGTCAATAATTTAACCCATCCCCCCTCCCCCCAGCTCCCCTCCAGTAACCCTCAGTTTGTTCTCTACCGTTAAGAGTCTGTTTTCTGGTTTGTCTCTCTTTGTTTTTTCTCTATATTCATCTGTTTTGTTTCTTAAATTCCACATATGAGTGAAATCGTATGGTATTTGTCTTTCTCTGACTGACTTATTTTGCTTAG